ATAGCCCATTAATGAAAATATTTCAATTATTTACAGATTCGGTATAAATGGAATGAAACAGAACAACGGTTATGTAATGTCCTACAAGAAATACAAGCAGCACAGAGCTTCACGAAAACCGACCACGCTGAAACTGGTCATATGCAGGTTCTGAATGACGTCACTTCCTATGTCAAAAACAGTTTGTCGGCGCTTGGATCAAATGGTGGTTGCTCAGGAAATACCTTACGCTCAGCGCTTCTTTCACGAGTGAAAAATATTCAGAGTCGCTCTCCAAATATAATTAACAAACTTAACCAACTTTTGTTGGATCTGAATTCGTATAAAAACTCAAAATTCTGCTCTCATTTGTGAAGTTGACCTACGAGTTGTAGAACTACCTCATATTGGCAGCTGATGTAGCATAATTATCATCGAAATATATTTTGGTTTTTTGTCATAATATATGTACATTTTTATATAAGTAATATTTTTTTACCATAGTTCATATTTGTAATTTATCTCTATAAAGATTGTGCCATGTTATTTTATGTCATTATTTTTACTATACTTTTAATAAATCAAGAAACTTTTTATTACTTTTTCTTTTTTTATTTTTATCCTCTGTTAGGATGAAAGTATAATTTTATAATTCTTTCACGAAAATACATTCCCATAGTGTAAATTAAGTTCAGTGAAGACACGCAATAACCTTCCTGATGTTTTAGAGTATACATGTATGCCTTGTCCTGTGTTGTATATGAAGAAATCAATTCACGTACAAATCTTCATTATTTCCTCTACTCTCATTGACTAAAGTTTTCATGAGTGGCAAAAAATACATAATTATATATTTACATCAATTTGAAATGGTTTAAAAATTTGATTTCAATATGTTTATAAAATGAAAAAAAAACTTCAATACAATCTACTTAAGCTATACATTCGAAGAACGTGCAGTGTACAATACTACAGTATTCGTCTCAACCTTTCGAGTAGCCAAATGGCCGTATTGACCTCATGAAAGTCAATACAATGTTATTGTATAATATATACCTGGTGATTAATTGTCTATATTTAAATTGGTAAATATAGAGTTCGGGAAATGACTGTACCTAATAAATGAACCTATGGGCCTATTCTGTCCCTCTGAAATGCGGCCAAATAGGTCACCACTAAGTTGACATATCAATTTGCTAGTATAAACAAATATGAAAGTAAATAAAAGCAATGCACTTACATATTAATATACATGTAAAGTAGGTTGATTTTACAGAAATGTGTAAATTAATGGGTTAAACTTCATATTAACGAGTACAGCAACTCGTCAATTAAAAACAGTGTATAGTCTCGAAGTTGTCTATTTCTCAGTAAATAAAACACTAGATGCTCTCATTTATATTAGACAGTAATATCCACCAAAAGTATGTTGCCTCAATTAAAATGCACACCCCTTCACGCGTAAAATAAATGTTGCCAAAATAATAGCCCTCCCACTAACCCCCCCCCCTCCCCATTTGGGTCCAGATCTTTTATAGAAACGTTTTCCGGTTTCCAATTGGTTTCCTGGTTGAAAAGAAAAATTCCGAAACGTTACTGTTAGCGTTACAGGACACCGCCAAAAAAAAGGAATTGGTCAATGCTTGAAATGTAAGAGAAGGAAGAAGAGGGTAGCGTGACCGACGGACGGACGGATGGACCAGAATATCTGCAATAAACCCGAACTTTCTTTAAAATGTGAGGGTATAAAAACTATGCTATTTTATTATATAAATAGTAGATATAAAGAAAATGCATGAAATACAAAATATATATAGAAAGAAAATTTGAAAAAAAAAATATTAATCGTATAGATAATATCGTTCAGTATCATTAATGATAAACATGCTGTAGATAGGTCTTTTTGTAAGTACATTAATTTGGGTTATTTCTCAGTTCTTTAATAACAATATATCACATATATTATATATATATATATACTATATATCATATTTTCAACAATAGTGCTATAAATGTGAATTTTGAGGTATTCAATGTATAATGAAGGGATATTGAACAATTTGGAATTATTTTAAACTAGTTAAATATGCATTGCTAGATAACGATGAAATTCACATGACTGATAACATATATAAGAAGCCGGTCATTTTGATCCTTAAATGTTTTTGAAGAGTTATCTGTCTTTGATAAAAAGACGAAAATTTTAATTTTGTCAAAATATCTGTGGTAAATGATTCATTTTATTTCATATTTTATAAAGAAGTTTATACATATTTTCACCAAGAGATTTGTGCGAATTCAATTTACTTTTTACAATATCTTAATAACACATGCGCTGCCCACAGACTTCAATTAAAATTCAAAGTGCAATTGGACAATAATCAAAATTTTGTAAATTCCTTTGGTGGAGTACATTGAATACCTTAAGAGATGATATTCTTGCGGATGGAAATACATTAAGGCAATTTGCGACAAGTCATTTGCAATGCTAAAGTAAAACAACACTGTGACCTAATAAAATCAATCGTTAGATATGCATTACATGACTATTTGTTTTCGTGATTTTTATATTTAAGAGTTTAATAGCTATATTTTTAAGTTTAAAGCTATATATGGCATATCTGAGCTTGAAAAATAATAATACGATATTGAGTATAAATATACATGATATATGTTATTTACGTTCAAATTAAAATTTTCACCGATTTTGAGCTTGAATAACCTCACGTTTCTATAGTCAAACTGACTTTAAATTTGTCTGTGATTTAAATATGGTGTAAATAAATCAGTTATTGTTTTAAATTTTTAAAATCTTTGAAACGCGATTGGTTTAAATTGTGTAATTTACAGGAAAGTCCTATTTTTATATAAAATTATAAAACAAATAGAAAGATCTTTTTAATTTTGGTTACCTGAACTTATCAAAAAAATACGCCATATATGACTTTAAATAAGGGTAGAAAGGAGCTCAGTAATGAGAAAAAATAATATCTCGCAGAAAACGTTGTCTTTTTTTGTTTGTTTTAATTAAACAAAACACAGACGGAGATCACATTTTGATCTTTATCATATCAATGTCAAATCCTGGAATGTGACATAGTGACTTTTCAGGTATTTCCAGCAAACTCGGCAAAATATCTCCACCCGTCGGAAAGGCCCCGATTACAGGAGATTGGTTGAAATGATTACCTTTGTATACTATCAGTGCCTGTAGTACTATATCTGTACGTTATCAGTCAATAGGTGTGTGTGAAACAAGAGGGATGAATGAAAGTTGTAAAATTTTATGAATGAATAATTTACAATTTCGTACATGTATTTGCTTAAGCTGTAATGTAAATACTATATTATCTTTATCGCCATCTGTGGATAATCTGAAGATTCCAATGCACATTTGCCTATCGTCGTATGAAGTCATTGTGGAAATCGTAGGCCATTTTCTGAAATAGTATTTGAATAAATAATATTAGAATAATATTGTTACATATCAAATTTTCGCTTCCTATTTCGGCTAATGTCATGTAATTCATTTCTTTATTTGATAACCCTCTGTTTTGAACCATATTTATTATTTTCTCGTCATTGAACACTGATCTTAAAGCTGGTATGGACAGGTTATCAATCATGTTTCAAAAGCTTACAATGTCTATATTTTTTGGATGAGTAATCAGGTTGTTTAGCATCCTCACTCCTACGAAACTATAAGAACTGAATGGACCGGAGAGATAGTACATTATCAATCATGCTTTATATGCTGATTATAACCTAGATTTTTGGATGAATAAGCAGGCTTGAGTTTTTGAAACAGGTCAAGTTTCAACTGGGATATTAATCCAGAAATGGTCTTTTTTGGTTTATCTTGCTATATATTACCTCCAATGAATATTTCCTCTTATGACTTATGAACCACTTCCTTTAATGAATCCATAAACTCTTTACTGATTAGAACCTGTTCTTTTGAAGCCACCTGTATATAAAAGAGTTCTCTCTTAATTAAGCAATGGGTTCTTCATACTAAGGCCTCTCACTTCCGTTTGTTTCAATTTCTACCCCTACAGTTTTTGCCGAGTGTCATATTCAGTTGAAATGAAAATATGTATATATACGTACTTTATAGGTGAAAACATATTAACCTAGCTTCGAACACATGGTAAATCATGCAAAAACGGCTTTGCAGATTACCTCGTGCATCGATGTAAGTACCTTCAGAAACCAGAATAAAATTAAACCTTCATAGTACACTATAACAATAATGGAAAACATTGATAAGAAAACCTCTTCTGAGCTTTCACTTGGTCTATTTCATTATAAAATCAGTACTTAGTCTGCTTTATTCTGATTGCAAAAGGATGGATTTTTAAAAGAGAAAGCAGGGTTTCCAACACATGTACTTTCCATTCTTTAGATTTAACCAATTCATTATCAGTTGACACAAACTATAAACAACTGTACAATTTCTTGTTGTATAAACTGGAATAATTACAATTTATTTTGATATCTATTTATAACAACAATAAATGAAAAATACAGATTTAACCTGGAAAGAAAAACAAGCATTAACAACACAACAAATTCATACATAGAACAACAAAATTCAAAGAAGTCTCGCATTCGAGATGCAATGTTTTCTCTCAATAAAACATTAACTATAGAACCATAAGATTAACAATCAAATGAAAAGGCATTTCATGTAATTTATCAACTTAAATAAAATACTCAATACATACTTACAGTACGTCAAACACATTTGAGTAAAATAAAAAATATACTTAAATAATAATACAATAAATATACTAGTATTCAATATCACAGATAACACAAAGATCAAATTTTATGCTTTTGTACGACATTTTACAGTTGTACCAACGATATTTTACAGTTGTACCAACGATATTTTACAGTTGTACCAACGATATTTTACAGTTGTACCAACGATATTTTACAGTTGTACCAACGATATTTTACAGTTGTTTCAACCACATTTTATAGTTGTGCCAATTTTTTTTCAAAGTTTATTGATCTACAACCAACTTTCTATAAAAGAAGTCTGTGGGGTCCACTTCTTCTCTCACCCCCAGACCAAGACTTAGATTTGGCCCGGAAATGACGCAGATCGTTCGAATGGTCTTTGTGAAGCATGGGTTTATAGTCTTGTGGTGTGCAAAAGCTCTAAAAATAAAATAAAATATTTCAAATAATTTTTTTTAAATGAACATAGGTTTTCCTTTATAAATATAGGAATGCATACTGCGAAATGAAATAAAATATGTTGCTCACCTTATGATGTTGGAAAAATGATTTGTAGCCCTCGTGTAACAGATAAATTTCCGGATAGAACAGTCGGGGATAATAGTCCTTATTTACCTCACGGTCTGCACTGCGCAGCTTCCGGTACCTATAATCACGTCATAAATTTATCCTTTGACAATCAGAACATTTAAATCTACATAATTTAGATTTATACGTGCTTTTTCCTGGAATGAATTGATTTAAAACACTTACATTTTTGGTCCTCGCTCTGATGAAAATTCACAATAAAATATAAGAATGTGACGTTTATCATCCAGAGTAGCATTCTCCAGGATACTGGAAACATCTACCTGTTTGTAAATATTCTCAGCTGCCTAAAAAAGTTAAATCATTACTCATAAAACGATATTAGTTAATCATTTTGAATATTTTTTATCATACATGTAAAATAGGCGCACAGGGAGAATATATATACATTGATGTATAAAAATAATTGAGCTGTTTATTTCCTCATCTTTACTCTAAGTCTTAAATTGGTTTGAAAAGTTTTTTTGATTGTTTTTTTTTTACCATAACTTCAAAAATACATGGTAAATAAATCATACCATTACATGACCGCCTTCATATTCATACGGGTATCTACAGTCAATGAGTCGGAAACTGGAAATGACATCATCATAGCCCCCGCTCAGCAACTCAGCCACCTTAAACATAGATTATAACATATACTTTCATTGTTTGCACTCATTTCTTGTTTCTCTGGAAAGAGAATGTTTTATCATGAAGTACCTGAAATTATATATAAACATTTCTGGTTTCAATATAAGTACAAACCGTATCTCCGGAAATCGTTTTCAAATCACTGTGTTTGCCCCTGATGGTGGGAAGAGAACATTCCTGACTTCCGTCCCCAATAAGGTTTTCCTCGTCTGTCAGCCTCGCCACAGCAGTTTTTACTTCCGTTTCCTCTGCTCGGATAAGAGGAGAGTCCTGTAAAATAATTTTTCTTTAATTTCAAAGGCTTTATCAAGAACTTATCTGAATTAGATTACAACTCAAGTTATTAATTTTTCAATTAGTAAAGTTGGATGATAGTCATAAACTTTTTCATTGAAAGAAAGAAAGAAAATATTTACAAGTATTTTAAATCTCATCGAAATAATCTTTACCAAAACACAAAGCTAGGTTTGTGAAACACTTTTTAAGCATTTGTGACATTGAAAGGCAGGTCCGTTGCAACGTTTTTCAAAAGGGGGTTAATATTGACAAGAAGGGGGGGGGGGGGAGAAAAAGCTGTCCAATCTTTGAATCCTAATTTGTGGATGGGGTAGGGGAAGTTGCATCTTTCTCTAAACTTTTCGATAATTTTTCTTCAAACGCCAGAATTTGCCGAATTCAATCTTACAGCAACAAAAAAGTGGGGTGAGGGGGCAAACAGTTAAGGTCTAATTGAAAATTTACATTAAGTTTAAAATTACAGCAAAAGACTATTCTCAGAAAAAGTGGGGACCTCCTCCCATCCCCACCCCCATCCCCCTCACACCCCGGTTACTAAGGGCCCAACATTTAATTTTTTTTTACCCCAAATGATAAAGATTTCTTAAAGATTGCTCCTCTGTGTGTCATCTGTTTCTCTCGTCTTGTTTTACAGTAAGAACCATCTTCTCTGTTATAGGAACTTTGTCCGAAGAGGGTACGCCGGACGATTAGTCTACTTCCGGAATTCTGACCCTGTATAAAAGAAAAGAAATTCCTTTATTTGATTCAGTTGAGTGCGCATCATTTTATTTTGTTTGAAAACTAGAAAGAATTATATGCATATATTGATATGGATTCAAAAAGATTTACAAATGTATCCTTTTCTAACTTAGCTCTTACTTTGATAACATTTGAGAAAAATCAGCTTAAGTGTACATTATACAGATTTAAAAAAATATTAGTGATGAATGTTTATGTTTATATGTATATGACACATCTATAATATAATATATCCAATCCAATGGGCCCCTGGCACCATAGGTGAGGATTAGCCGGGAATATCCTAGGATATTTTATCCCATAATTTATCCTGTTGTAATTTTTAAAAATAAAGAAGGGAAAAGAAAAAAAAAGCTTACGTGTACATCACATTGTAATGAGAACTTCGGCGTGTTTTTCAAACCATTAAAGGAGGATTCAAGCGCAATCTGCAAATTAAAATTAACATTACATTTTTCGATCACAGTTTTGTTTTATTTCTTAACTTCATATTACATATAACCTGTGTATAGATTTCAATATGAATGTCCGTGTGTGTTCGATTAATATTGGTACAAAGAACCAATATAACGCTTTTTTAAATCTAAAATGTGTTTAAGCCCAAATTTAGTATGTGACTTTTTTTTATTAAGATTCTATTTTAGTAAGTTAAGTGATAGTTTAGTGTAAGAATTTTTACTTGGTCTGGATCGTCACTGTCCATTCCTAGACCAGAGTCCTCGTCCATCATTGGGCATAAAGGCGATTTATGGCCCGGGGCCCTGGAGGGGGTCAGAATATCAGCGATATCGACGTCCATATCCTCGTCACTGTCATCGAAATGGAGCTGGCCGAAGGGAGGCAACTGTAAAATAACAATTACCAAATTAGAAAATATTCTAATTACAGTGGCATTTCTCAATTAAATAACAATATGATTTTTTTATTTTTAAATTTACTTACATCAGTTAATCTTTGTGAAAATTCCATTATCCTCGTGATCAGCGCTCCTCAACTAAATAAAGTAAAGAATGATAATTTCAGTCGTTAGAAACTTTGTTTAACTTATAAGAAATATTTACTACACATTATTATCACATATATGTGTATATGAATACAAGTATAGATGGATAGTACATATTAATAATGATTCTATATTTGCAGATTTGACTTATATATAACCCTGCACATACTCAAAGACGTGTCAGGTACTCATCGCCTTGGTCATGCTGAGTCCTGCTAATCAAGACTAATTTTCGCACGTTAATTCATTAGCTACCTGTCTAATAGTATTATACATGAGAATGGTGTGTTTCCAGAGGTAATAATTACCTTTCTGTAACAGAATGCCCTAGCCACCTTTGTCTGTGTTAACTAGACGGGAAATTTTTTCCCTAGAATCTCGTAATTACTCCTGTTTTGACACTAGCAGAGTGGGAAAATTGGTGTTTTCTCGGACGAAAGCAGATCCCTGCGCACTATTTACAGAATCTTAATTATAATCAATATGATTCTGAGAAAACACAAAAACTGGCTTTACTCGTTGTGAACAGGGATTTTCAGTTGTGTAAATTCTTATCAAACTAATTCAATTTCATGTAAGGAAATCTAGATTGACATTTTCTTACGGCATAATGAAGTATTGTTCTGCCGCCTACCTCCAAGTCATTTTTCAAAAGTTAACACATTTGAATGATTTTTCATATTTAGTGAGATATTTATGTGAATTTTCATAAAACATAAATGGGTTGGAATAACAAAGAGAGATAACTCTATAATTTTGGTAAAACTTGTGTTTTTCACTATAGAAATCAATGAAAAACGGAAAATATTTTTAAAACATCCCCTCCTTGTGAAACAAAAATTCCTTTTTACATGTGTTATGGAGTGTTATTTCGCAAATTTACACCAAAGCTTTTTGTGTTTCACGGGGGGGGGGGGGGGGGTAACATTTGTTTACAGACAAAAAACGCACAAAAATGGACATGTTTTACCGATTTCAAATGACATAACAAATTTTAAAGAAGTGTTTTATCAATCTTATACATTGAATTTTACATAAGTTTAACATACGGAAAGATTTAAGAGTCATGTATCCATTTCCATGCATATTTGAAAATTTGGTGATGTTTTAAAGCCTGATTTCAATGGATAAAATCTTTTACCCCAAAAGAGTTGTAAAAAAAGGAATTAACTTTTTGAAGCTGGTTTTAAATTAATAAATCAATTACTAACGAACTATTCTTTGTATTCAAATAAGTTTTAATGCCAAAAATGCAAGTTATATTGAATTAGATGGGTTTAAAATGTAGGTGGGAATCGAGAGTTAGCGTTCGTAGTTCTTTTCCTTGAGATAAATTGTTACTTACCTTTCAATGAAACGATCAAGATCACAAATGAATGAAATTCCTTTAATTGTATTAACAATTCAGTTTCCACAAATTTCAAAATATCACCATCAACGAGAGAGTACAAATTTATATTTTTCATGTAAATATAATAAATGAATCCCTGTAAAATATATTGGTTGTTTTTAGTTATCTTGAGCAATATCCGTTAGCTTATAGCGACATAATAACTGTATTGTTAAACCCACTATATCTCAACCGATTTCTTAATTAAATGGGTAGATATTTCCAAGAAATCGGATTAGTATTACGTGATCATGAGCAGACTTGTTTTCGTTGTAACATGACTGTGATCAATGCCTGGTTATTTATTAAAAAGTATTTAGTGGTATACATATATTATTACGTATAAATACATGTATATACATAAATGAATTAATATTGGCTCACTAGTAACCATTAAAATGTTTACATGTATGTAAGACTTTTTCAATGTTACAATACTACACCTCACAAATTAGATGAATATGAAAATATACGATATATAGATTGAAGATTGATTTTATACAGAAGGACGAGACAAATTCAGAGCTTGAGTGCAGAAAACAGACATGATAATAAAAGGAGGGATAGAAAAGTGTTAAAAAGTGGATGCTTCAGATTTAGTCACTCTAACTGCAGAAAAATGCCAAAGAATCAGAACTCTTTATAGTGTGCAGTGTAGAGATTATCTGCTTTGTGTGGACAGGATCCCCCACCTCCTAATCCCATATTACCCCTGGGTTGTTGAACTCTATTTATTAGACTAAGTTATCATGTATATCAGAAGATTTGGGGGGGGGGGGGCTAGAACAATCCTTCCATATAAAAAAAAACCTGACTATACATACTAAGAGAGGCTCTCGTTATGGATAGTGGGGTTTCTTTTTGGGGGGGGGGCCATTATTTAGTGTTTTTTTCCCCAAATTTCTTTAATTGTATATATGATGAGTTAATCATGATATTCATGAATTTAGGCATGAATTACTTTATAATAATCGATCATAAAAGTATTACACATTATACTGAGCATTGAAATAAATACATGGAAAAGTAAGAGATGTTTTGTTTTGGTAAGACAGGGCTAAGCTTGTTCGTTTTTGTTTTTGTTTTTTTTGTTTTTTTTTTTTTTGTTTTTTTGTTTATTTTCAACTTACTAAACTTAAAGATTCTAACTCCATTTCATTACAAAAATCTGATCAACAGGAAATTATCTTTTGTCTCGTAATAATTCTTGCTGCTAAAATTCTGACATTTTCTAACAATTCTGAATCTTTTCTTTACATTTTCATAAACAACCTATGTATAATTCATAATTGGACAAGGTCAAAAGAAATATTAATATGTTTACCTGAGTTTCCCTTTTCACAGTTTGCCTTTAAATAGAACTTATTTTAACTGTGTACAGTATTAACAATGATTTGTTTTTTCTTAATCAAAGAAAATTTTATCACAGAATCTAGATAATTATAGATGCATATACTTATATATTTTCTCCCCCTTTTTTTTACCAGGAATCACAATTTTGAGTAATAATAACATTTCAGCTTCCACATAAACCTATTTCAATTAATGAGCTCAATGGCAGGGAAGATCGCATAAGTTACTCACCGCCATTATTTATTTATTTATTTATTTATTTATTTATTTATTTATTTATTTATTTATTTATTTATTTATTTATTTATTTATTTATTTATTTATTTTCGAATCGATTTCCTAAAATATTTGTAAAACCTATTAGTTAATTTGATGCCAATTGGAAAGGTTCTATATAACACCATATGTGTAATTATAATTGTTTGTTTAATTAAAATTAATTGTTAATCCATCATTGATATATATTAATCCAATAATTCAATTTATAATTAGCCTAACATAGTGTTAATTATAGCTTAATGCACAGTTCAAGCATATAGAACAGGTTTTAAAAAAAATTAACAAGTATAAAACTGTGTACACCAAACAAGTCAAATCAGAGACGAATTTAGGCGTACTCCCCGGGAATCTGCATTGTTAAATGCTTTTAAGAGAGAAGAAAACCAGTGATAATACTTGCATTTCTCTATGAATAAATGTTTAAGGTGTTCTGGTATTCAATACTCAGTTGGGATATACGATGTCTATCTTTAATAATATATACTATTTGTTAAGGACATGCATCAACTTAATTTTGACCTTTATTTAATTATTATATAATTTTATAGTTCTAATAATTGAAGGAACTTTTGCGACTTTTGTAATGCTTAATGATTCTGTACACCTCTTCAAATCAAAATTTGAGGAAATACCAGCTTAAACTATATTTTTGTTCATTTTTCTTTGAATGACACAAGGATTTTCATCATTTGATATCTTTTCAAAACTCCTGGTAATGTATGCTGATTTTTTTAATCTAGGAATATCTGATAGTACTATGATTTTAAATTAAGAATATCTTCAGAAAAATTATCATTGGGTAAGGTATATTGTAAGGGACGTCTAAATGTATGTTGTGTATGACCTTAATACATGTATTACGGTATGATTAGCCACAACTTAACAATTCTAAAAGATATTCCCCTTTTTTCCCACAACTTTGTGACCACCACCAACCGTACAAATTATAAATTTTTGAATTTCCTTATTTTAGAGATACTTAAATGTAGCTGTCAGAAAAGCTGAAAATACATCAGCTTCTGCAATACCCTAACCAGTAATGATAAAATCATTTTAGATGTTGAAATTCAGGTGTTTTCATTTCAAATCTCCTTTTCTGGACACTCAAACTTAACTGTCAGATACATGTATGTTGAAAATTCACCAGCTTCCGGGGGCTTCGTCCTAGACCTATAGGTGGCCTCAATTTAAGGCGGCCCTCAAACCCCTGTCTTAATTTGCTTCCACATCAAACACCCCAAACTACACCCCTGCCTGATGATGAAATGTCTAATAGTGTATTTAATTATAAATGTGAATACATAAGCAATCAATATGAATTTTAATTTTTAATTATGACGTTGCGGACACGTGGATGTACCATGTACCATGCACGTACAGGTGCTTGGGGACGGGAACCCCCCCCCCCCCCCTGCGTACCCCCAAAGGTTCTATATTCTTTAGTAAAATATTTTTCTATGACATTTTTACAAAGTATAGCAACTGAAAAATCCTAAAGATACCCTAAAATTACCTTTTATTAAAAAATAACACTTGAACTGATATTTAAAAAACTCCGAAAATTGGTATCTTCGAGTGTGATTTTCTTTAATAAAAGATTAGTTTTAGGTTATATTTTGGATTTTTCATTTGTAATAATTGTAAAGGTGTCATAGAAAAAATATTTTAAAAAGTTGAAGAACCCCTGGGTGTACGGGGGGGGGGGGGGGGGTCCCATCCCCAAACACCTGTGCCAAGGCCCATATACCCATTCCGATCCTCCTCAGGCTCTACAAAAGAAAAATAAAAGGTCAACAGGGGAAGAGCATCTGTAAATTAGCTTTGTTTTCTATTTTTAAAGTAGATATTGGCAAAATTATTTGGGAGTTCCTCTCCCCTGTAACCTATATATGAACCTGTTTAGGTGTAAATTTCACGGATTCTTTACTTCCGTCTCTTTTTGGTTTTGTGTAGTACACAATCTTTGACCAAAAGATGGCGGATGATTTAGAAAGTGAGAATTTGATTTTAAGCTTTAAGTTTTATTATACGTTAGCAAGAACATACTATGATTTAAAAGTCTAAAACATCAGGTTAAATGTAACAAGGAAAAGATGAATATTGATGTTTTTATTGTCAATTTAATTCGATTTAACCAGACAATTTCGAGGCTTAACGTTAAGTTATAATGTGATATAAACATTGGCAAGGCAAAATCAATATAAATTTAATTTAATGAACCGGGCAGTGTTTGTAAAGTTTTTGTTGCATTATGTATTGTTTACTTTCATATAAGACACAGTTGATGAAACGCAACTGAACGTTTTTCCAGCATAAATGGCATTATGCATACTCTAATATACTAGAAAAACATGAAAAAGGGATATTATCTTCATTATATTTGGCCTTTACATTGCAATGAGTGCGGATTTTTAACTCATTTTATGATAGGATATTTATAAGCATGTATTTTATCACATTTAATGCATTATTTGTGTGAAAAATATATAGTTTACCTAGCAATAATGTAAAAAGCTGTAAAACTACCTATAGACCTTCTCTAAAAATTTGAATTTTAATTATTGTACTGTTCAATTATTGAGTTTTGAGAGGGGGAAAAATCTAAGTAAATGTCAATCACCATTTCCTATTTGCTAGGCTCATCTGCTGAAGCTTTAATTAGTTTCAGAGAGGGTAAGTTTTTTTAGCTGCACATAGACACTGGTGCCTCAAACATTGACACTACTTGCAACGACTGTATCATTATTTAGCTTCCAATCCATTGGCATGCCTTATATTACATATTTTACTCAGGTGCTGACATAATATTGATAATTCGCTATAAATCAAAAATAGTTGGGGTTATACATGTTATATATCAATGAATTTGCAGAGTTTGCATGAAAAATTATTTGGTGCTTTGAAATTCAAACGTTTCTATTTTCAAATTCAACAGACTTTGCATGTAGATATTGGTTAAGTCTGAAAATTGATCAATGTTGTTTTGAACTTGAAGACTATGTTTTAACAATTTTGATATAAAAAGATTTTTTCAGATATTTAATTCAGTCTCTTATTATTACATTCATCACAATGTTTCTGATTTTGTACAATAATTAAAAATTGTTTTAATACCTACATCCACTTTCATATTGCTATTATATGAAGTAACTCTCTGAAAATTTATGAAAATAATAAAGATTCTGTTGCTTATAAGTTTAATTTAGTTTGTCTGTATTATCATGATTTATAAACATGTGAATCAACTCAATGAAATATGTTATTAATTTTCATAGGTAAGGCTGACTATAAGTCCCCATCAAGGCAGAGAAATGTAAGTTTACTCTCAGATTTAATACAAATGGATATTGGTACTACTTGAAAATTACAGGCCAACAAGGAAAACATTTATAGTATTCTGTGAGCTTAGTGTAGAGATAAAAAGCTTCTATAATAGCCTATGTTTTACATTTTTGTCCATCCTTAACTTGTGAAATGTCTAAGAGAAAAATTTATATTTTCATGTCTTGATCTTAAATTTACACTGCTCTGAGATTTATTTATGAGAAATCTGAGATTGTACTTTTTAATTTCTTGTTAATATTTATTGTTTTGTGTAAAAAAATTTTCTTTTTTGTAGCCTACACGCATCAGGAAGAAGAACGCTAAGTTTTACAATGCAGATGAGGACACATCGTTCTCTATCAGACCACGTGCCCAAAAAAAGAGGGAACGTAAACCTGTAAGTGTCAGAGAACGTGTCAAGTTGTAAGATACAAAGGAGAAAAAGTAAACTAAGTTTATACAGTATAATGAGAAAATAAGAGGAACATTTAACCTTAATATACAACAGATACATAATGTTTATTGAAAAAAATCTTGTAACGGAGTGCAAAGCTGCAAGAAACAAAGAGAGAGTGTAAAAATGACATGAAGAAAGAAACAGTTAAAGAAACAGTCAATGACAACAGAAAAAGCAGTTAGTTATGCTACACGCATGTGGCAATGCAGATATTTATAAATCTGTAAGCAGCTGAATTTTACAAAGCTTTATTTTGATCATGTTGATTCAGGGTATTGGGTTGACTGTCCATGATAAAAGGATGGCTCAAGGCATAGGTGTGCGACTGAGAAATCTGCTGAAGTTACCCAAGGCTCATAAATGGGTGTGTTATGAATGGTTCTATTCCAACTTAGACATGTAAGTATAAAATATGTTTATTAATATCATATAAGTATAAAGTATGTTAATATCATGTATGCATAAAATGTTATCATGTAAGTATAAAGTAAGTGATCATTTAAGTGTAAAATAAGTTATCATAAACGTAAATAATAGTCCTTAGTGTGTCAAATTGTCTACTGACTCATCTATACACCGTTGTGATTTTTAATGATTAAAAAAATGTGATAAAATATGATTTTCTACATGTGAGTATGAAAAATTGGGGAAAAGATATTTGAAAGTCTTTTGATAGAGTTGAAGTCTGTTACTATAAACCATGTAAAGGCCAAATGTTAACAGGATTTATTGTAAGTGAAGTCTTTCAAGATTTTGTACTTTTGTTCACTATTTTTCAAGACCACTCTTTCTGATGGAGAATGATTTTTGCATCTGTATGAAAGAATCCTTTCCACAGCTAAAGATGAAAAAACTTCGTAGAGTGGAGTGGTGCAAAATCCGCCGTCTAATGGGCAAACCTCGCAGGTATCAAAATATTTACTAAATAACTTGATAAAGGGGGAGTTTCGATAAGGCTGTGTTTCGGCCCCTCAAGAAATATAATGAAATTTTGATATGTTGTAGATAAAAGTGTTATCTTCCTAAAATATGAAAAAAAAAATTATACTGCACATTTTCTGGTCGCTTGATAATTAAAAATTTAAGTATACCCTCCTCCCTATATTTTTAGAGGGGTCATATTTAAAGGGGGTAATGGAGTTTATTTAACGTCAAAATCATAAATGAAATATTACAAATGTGAATAAAGACATCAAATAACCAATTTCAATATTTTTCTTTACAGAAAATTTATGACTTTTTTTTTATTTGAATGCGTTTTAAGGTGCAAGATTCCTCTTGTGTTTTAATTGTAACTCTTCTTCCAAAGAGGATGGATGTAACATATAAAATTTATATGAATAATAAAGACAGCAATTTTCAAAAAATGAATCGAAAGTTTATACTTAGACTAAATTATCATTATATAACATTTTCCAGTACGTAGAAAAGCAAATGTAAAGATATATAGACAAGGGATAGATAAACATAAACTGTCATTGACAGGTGTTTGACACTGTTTGCAACACATTTCTATCAGCTGAAGTTATTGTGCTAAATATATTATTAATAAAATGTACCGTAATATCATTGAATTGAATTTTTAAAAAAAATCTTGAAATTAACAGATTTCGGAATTCAGTACAATTAAAAAATGCAGCTATTAATATTTTTTAAGTATATTTAAAAGAATCATGCTGCAATGTATATTGTATTTAAAAATACCAAGCGTATTACTACCAGTCAACATATTTTATCAAGATAGTAATTATTAGTCCCATACCGGTGAAGCCGGAGGGATCTATAGGTTTCCTCATCGTCTGTCCGCCTGTTTGTCCGTTCGTCCCCCTGTCTATCTGTCAGTCTGTTCCACTTGGTTTTTCGCATTTTTCTCTAAACGCTTACAGATATTGAGCTGGCTTTGGTATTTATAGTGTATCCTGATGAGAAACAGAGTTTGAAATTCAAGTTTGAATTTCGTTAAATTCTGCTTCATTGATTTTTGACGGAATATTACAAATTTAAAAAAGGGGGGGGGGGGGTCGGCGTTTTTTGTTCTGGTTTTTTTTTTCTGAAAAAAAAAATCGCATATATTGAGCTGATTTTTGCTTTGGTATATGTGTTAAACTTGAGTTATAGACCAAGTTTGCATTTTCTTCCGCTTCAATGATTTTTCAAATAGGGCATTTTCAATTTTTAATGGAAACCAGGTTATACTTGGTATGCCGATAGTGGACTATTATTGCTAATGCATTGCTTACAGAATGCGTGAATAAATAGCCAAATGATAAAAAACTAAAATACATTGAGTACATGTCTTCTATTCATTCTTAAACTTAAAAGTATTTACGCACATAAAGAGGTGCATTGTGTTTTCAGCAAAAATGAGACAATTCAGGCAAGCGAGGACCTACATGTAATTCCTTGCGCTTCCCAACTTCCTTTTGATGCTTATGTTGTTTCACCAACTTTAGTCACTATTTGATTTGTTAGACCATAGCCGCAAATTAAAATACATTTGTAAATACCAAATGTATGTGTTAAATCATATCCTGCAGAAACGTACAAATCAACATCCAGTCTTAAAAGTAATCTACGTTCCCTACATGTAGACCACACGGAAATATATGTGAACCTTCTCTAACAGATTGAGCGAGGAGAGTTTCTATTCAAAGGAATGGCTATAAACATATCCTTGATAAAGAACGTTAATGAATGGACTAATCCTCAAACTTCTCTTTAGTTCAGTCAGTCATTCGGAAAATGTAAGATCCGGCATCTGTAGCACCATCAGTGCATATTTCTTCAAGATATGGATTATAGTTATATGAAAATGAGACATGCTCCAAAATATATACCCTGGGCATTCATTAAGAAAATGTAAGTCAGATCTAGCATCTGAAGCAAGTCTGACAGTGTGCATCCGAAGATGCATCATGAAGCACGTCTTCTCAACAAGTGCTTATAGCTGCACTGCTCCATAAACATTAACCTGCTTTAAAAACATTAACCTGGACATTCTTTAACTGAAAATGCAGCATCTGAAACCCGACAGATGACAAGAAAACATACTAGATCAGGACTCTGATGATATGAAAAAAATGATTAAAAAATTTTAATAACCTGGAACGCCTAGAACGATGTTATTACCAAAGCTCCCCCAACTTCGTGTAGGTGAGCTAAATATGTGACGTTAACGTTATACGCGAGCGACGAAATAAGTATAGAAATAACGATAGGATATGATTATGTTTTCTTATGTTAATATTTTCGAGAGTTCTCTTTGGTTTAGAAAAAATATGCTACTTTTGGCTTTGTATTTTAACACGGCGTCAGATCAAGTAACCAGGAGCTTCTAATTAGGTCTTTCCACCTATCTGTGGAAAGACCTCTTGAAATGCTTATGTTTATTAGGTCTTTCCACCTTTCTGTGGAAAGACCTATTGAAATTGTTCTGTTTATTATTATTATTATTATTATTTTTCCGCCGAATGATTTTTTGTTTCATAAGTTATCGAAAAGATTTATAGTCCATAAGAATGTACTTTGTAAAAGATTTTTGCAGTTGACCCTGCGTATATGAACTTTGACCTCTCAAGGAGTTATAATCCCTATCGCAATAAAAGCTTGTTATCGCTACTCCTTCGAAACCTTAAACCGTAGAGATATGAAACCTTCACTAATGTCTTCGACTAATTTAGTAGACTCTTCAATCTTTTCAGTGCGAAAGGTTGCATGAACCCCTTTAATTAGTTATTGTCCCTGAAAGTTTTTGATGGTTACGAATAATCATTTTTTTTTTAAACGATTAATTGTAGAGACATGGGACCAATGAGATTGGATAGCTCAACCTTTGACCTTGAAATTTATATAGAGGTCAAAGGTCAAGGTCATTCAAAATATGAGAAAATTAGCTTTTTTAATATCTCTTTTGTCTTTCAACATATACTGTATAGGGGGAAAATAACTCGCGGTGTTAATAATCGCTATATTCACGGTGTTGATAAATCCGTGAATTCAAGAAACAGTGAATAAGTTTTCAATAACTTCCAATTTTTATTTGGAAATTTGAGAATATACTACGATAGGTATACATGTATATACGTGCAGTGCATGGGCCTTCAGTAATTACGAGTAGTGCTTGTCATTCAATTATTTTAATTATCACTCTTAACTTTAATTCAAATCAGCAGATAATAACATGTATTTGTTAAAAGGCTGTTTTAATAGCCAACGCTACATGTTTTATCAATCAAAACACGTGGGCTATGAGTTTGATTACCCGTGCGAAACTAATGTTACCACGTGTATTTGTTACCTGCAATATTTTATCGACATTTTTGTTTAAAAAAAAAATCATTCAAATAACTATCGAATTGCTGAAGGTGTGGAAGGATATTATTTCGTCGACCTACATTAACATATTTATTACCGTCCAGCGTTTTTTTTCCGCCGCGATGTTTTATCCCTACGGAAAGAAGATCTTTACGTGTATATAGGGAAGTCATTCGACGTTTATAGTCAAGGACTTTTAATCACCGCACTTGTTTTAATTAATCGTCAATTAATTATTAGATCTTAACTATTTTACATAAACCTACCTCTGTTGTTCGTGAAGTGAATACATAACACTGATCAACGGATATAGGCAAGCGAGATAACTTTTATTATATAAAACATATAATTCCGCGAATTCAACAAACCGCGATCGTGTCAGATGAGAGAAAAACGTGAAAATTACAACCCGTGAAATTAATCCCCTATACAGTACTGAATATCTTTGCATCTATCATATGTCCTTCTAAAACTATTTCAAAGATTTCATTCTTGTCCCCCGAGCTTGACCCATTCAGAAGTTGTCACCCCTTTTGCAACAAAACCTTGTTATCGCTACTCCTCCGAAACCGTAAACCATAGAGATTCCAAACCTTCATCAGTGTCTTCGACTCATTTAGTACTCTCTTCATTCTATCATTGCAAAAGCATTCTTTGGACCCTTGTATGAGTTACTGCCCCTGAAAGTTTACGCTACTTACATTTAATGAACTTATTTTTAAAACGGTGTATCCTAGAGACATGGGACCAACTGCTTCGGCATATTTGACCTTTGACCTTGAAATATAGGTCAAGGTCAAAGGTCAAGGTCATTTAAAACCATAAGAAATCCCTTATATATGTGTAAAATATAGCAATTCACCAAATGACCTTGAACTTTGACCTTGACCTTTGACCTTGACATTGGGTCAAATAGAAAAGTTAGGACATGCAACCAGCTCCAGTATCAGGTAAAAATACAGAAAGTAAAGATTTCTTTTTTTCTTTTTTTCTTTTTTTTTTTTTCAAAATGACCTTGATCCTTGACCTTTGACCTTGACTTAAAGGTCACAATAAGGCTTAAGGATGTGGAAGTAGTTACAATTCGTAGTTTAAAAGAGGCATAAAATAAACTAGGAGACTAATTGTTCTCGAACAATTAGAGGTCTTTCCACCTTCTTTAAATTTCATATATTTTTCATATTTTACTCTCTAAAGATAATTTTCATACAAAGAGAATCCAGAAATAGCTTGAGAGATGGAAAAAATGAAAATTTTAAAAATTTTGAAATGACCTTGACCTTTGACCTTGAACAAATATTCAAGGTCAAAGGTCAAGGGTCACATTGCACTTGACCCCATGCTTTTACGACTCTTAGTTTTAAAGTTAAAAGGTTTAATAGTAAGCGCAAAGACGTTAAAGGGCGATAACTCATCTAAGGGGTCATCAGATACTTTCGCACTGTATAGATTGAAGTTGTGTCTAAAGACCCTGAAGACATTAGTGTAGGTTTCATGTCTCTATGGTTTACGGTTCCGGAAGAGTAGCGATAACAAGGTTTTCAGTAAAAGGGGCAATAACTTTTAAAGGGGTAAATCTTAGGGGAAAAGAA